GGGAAGGGAAGGGAAGGACCTCAATTGAAGCATCCCCAGCACACAGCTCACCTCCCACCCAGCCTGTCCAAGGCCACCAGGACAACTGACTTTTAAGCCAAATTAACAACTCTGGCTCTGGGGGCTGTGGCTGCACTTTTACACCCGTATCCCAAATTCTTCTTTAAAAAGGTCTCTGGTTGCATTTTCAGCAGTTTTTCTGTTGATTTGCATCAACAGCTTTCAGCTATTTGTTTCATTTGGAGGAGCAGAAGCTTTCACTGCCTGGCAGTGGAATACAGAAGGGTTTCATACCACAGCACAGTGAAAAGCCAGCTAAATGCTTTCCCCCAAGAAGTGCTCTGCTGGCTCAGACTTGCACATGCTGAAAACCACTTCCACCCCTTCCCACACAGCTGGTCCAGATGGAAACCAGGCATGGGAGGGAGGTGGAGCTGGGCTGGGGGCTTGGTTTTGGATCCAGCCCTCAGAACAGGATTGCACTCCCTATCTCACCTTTTTACCCTGAGCTGTCTTTATAACGTTGTTTTTATTTGGACCAGATTATGCTTGAGCTGTAAGGAAGAAATCCCCGCTCCAGAGCTGGAGATGAGAGTGTTCTGGCAGCAGCAGCAGCAGCGGGCAGAGCTGTGCCCACGCAGGCAGGAGCTGCGGGCAGGAGTTCTCGGGCACTGAGCTCAGCTCTCGCCAGGCTGGCACCCCGGGCACCAGGAGCCCTTCCACCCCTGCTCCTGGGGCAGAAAGCTGCTCCAGGCTGCTGGAACAGGGATGGGCTGCTGCTCTTCATCAGAGGGACTGTGGGAGACCCTGGGAACGGGGCCTCTGAGCCCACTCCCCAGGCGAGGACTCCTCTAGTAGCACAGGGATGCTCTCTGCGAGCAGGAGAGGAGGAGCCCTGAAGCACCCTGCTGTCCACCAGCCCCATGTGCTCCCCAGAAGCCAAACCCCTTCCTGCTCCCCTGCCTGCCCAGCCCAGGCACGGCAGAAGGCCTGGAGGAGTTGTTCTTACATCCAGCCTGGAGCTTTGGAGCAGGCATGGGCTGCACAGGGCTGTGGGACAGCAGGGATGGATCTCTCCTCAGCCGTGCTTTTACTGCAGATGGGCTTTACCAAAAGACTAAAAGCTTTCTAGTTGTAAAATCCATTAAGACTTCTCCTAGAAATGTAAACAAACCTATAAAACCCAAAGGCATTCCATCCCCCTCTCCTACCTACTCTGCTTATTTACAGTTCTCCAAAGCACCGAGTGCTCGGCACATTCTGCTCCTGAGGCAAACCTGGTTGCCTGCCTTGCCCCGAGAGCTTTGTCTGAGCAGAGCTCTGCTCCCAGCCCCTTACCAGCTTCTGGGTGAGGCCGGGGGGAGCCCACTCGTAGGTGATGGTGTCGAAGGTGGGGTCCTTGCCCGAGATGTTGGGGTTGGTGACGATCATGCGGTTCCTCTTGTAGACGCGGACGCCGTCGCCGCCCTTGAGCCGGGCCGTGAGTGTGGCGTACCTGGAGTCCGAGAGCAGGCGGCCGATCTTGCGGTCATCGTCCAGCTCCGAGCTCAGGCCGTGCTCCTCCTGGCTGCACTTGCACGACTTGCAGATCTTCCTGTGCCCAAGAGAGCAGCCTGGGCTGTGAGCCGGGCCGTGGCGTGCCAGCCTCTCCCCGGGGCACACGTGGCCTGGCCTCATGGCATGGGCAAAGGCTCAGGATGGAGCGGGCGGGTTGGGTTGGGAGAGACCCCAAATCCCACCCAGTGCCACCCTGCATGGCAGGGACACCTCCCACTGCCCCAGGAGCTCCAGTCCCAGTGTCCAACCTGGCCTTGAGCACATCCAGGGGCAGCCCCAGCTGCTCTGGGCACCTGTGCCGGGGCTGCCCACCCTGCCAGGGAAGGATTCCTTCCCAGTATCCCACCCATCCCTGCCCTCTGGCAGTGGGAAGCCGTTCCCCCTTTCCTGGCACTGCAAAATCTGCTGCCTCTGGCCCACGGGGAGCTGCTGCTGGCCCTGAAGCCTGGAAACCCCTTCAAGCATCATGAGATTGGAGATTAGTCTCCTCACAGATTCCAACACACCAGCACCAGCCTTGCCTATGAAGAATCTTTACATGCAGTTAAAAAAGTGACTGCTGGAAGGAACTGATGCTTAATTGACTGTAATTGGAATGATAATAGGTACAAATCACACAGACAAGTGTCTAAGGACACTCTGATGGCCAGCACTGCCTTCAAATACTGATAGCAAAAGGGGCAAAGTAACTCTGACACAACCCCGAGGATTTCAGCAGGATCTTGGAGTAAGAATGAGTCCAACTAGCCTTTAATGGAGTCAATTAAAAAATGGCTGTGCTTTCACCAAATGAGTCTTTAAAGTTTGGGTTTCACACAGCTGAGGTATCACAAGTGGGAGCTGAAGGCATCCAAGGCATTCCAGCTGCAGCAGCACAGCTGGAGCACAGCCTCCCTGCCCCACCACCACGGGCCCAGCGCCCTGGGGAGCTCCCCAGGAGCACAGAGGAGGCCAGTGTTTGTGAGGCAGCTCAGAGGGCACTAATTCTCTTTTAATCAGTGACAGCTGGGTGGCTGCATTGCATTTGACAGCCCCTTTGCTGCCCTGAGCCGGGCACTGTCCTGGTGTGCTCCCACCAGCTGCTGCCATCAGGGGCTATTTACCCCAGTTGGTGGTTTTAGCAGGAAAACTGGAAGTGAAGTATCAAATAAGGAGATGTTGTGTCACCAGGCACATTTCAGTCGGGGTGCAGGACAGGACCAACGTTACCTCCAGGAGTGAGGCTCGAAGCCCGTGCACAGCCCTCTGCAGCGCAAGCAGGGCACGCCTCTTCCCACCTGTGGCTGGCTCCCCGACATCTGCAAAAGAGCAGGACACCGAGCTGGGGAGGCTTTGTCCTCAGGGGCTCCCTGAGACAGCCCTGAGAGTGCACGCTGCCCTTCACAAGTGATTCAGCCATCCCTTGTGTCCCCTGAAACCTCAGATCTCCCAATGCCATTTGACCATGTCCATGCAACCCTGCCACAAGTTTATTTAAGGATGCTTGGGCGAAGGTTTGCCCTTCAAAGTGAGGGAAGATGGAGGGGCTGGCACATCAAGCCCAGGGAACATGCTCACACACTGGGCAGCCACCTTCACCTCATCCACAGAGACCTCAGGTCTCGTTTGGGTCCAGTTCATGGAGTTCATGTGCTGCACATGGATCTGTGCAAGTCACAAAGTCAGGCTGGAATGTGGAGGTGCACTGATGCTAAACCTGCTTCACTGCACCTTGGACCTCTGTGGTCTTTCTCCAAGTGTATTTCAGGAATGTGGGAGGTTTCCATGCCCCTGGCACTGGACTTTGTGGGAGGTTTCCATAGTGAACAGGAAATACAGCGGGGAAATGCTCTGGGGAGCAGAGGTGGTGCTGGAGTGACATGGAGGGCAGTGGTTGTGCTGCATTTTTGCTGCTCACTGGAAAGAGACAAAAGTCACCCATCCTTGGTGATCATTGCTGCAGAGACATCCCAACAACCTCCCAGCAGATCAAAGATGAGCAAAAACCCACACCAGGAGCCCATATCTTTGGAAAACAAACCTATTGACTGCCAGCCCCATGAATTTATCAAACATGGCTTTCTGAGCGTGAGCAACACAGCAGAGTACGGCGGGAGACAAAAACAAAGTGCTGCAGGAGGCACCAGGGCAAGGTGACACCAGCAGACGCTGAATTTATCTCAGCCTGGATGTTTATACAGGAGCTGTCAGGCCCCTGCCTGAAAGACAAGCTTGTTCCCTGGAAAAACGAGCTGAGGGAAGCAAGGACAGTGCTGGGCCCAGCAAGGCTGCTCATCCTGGAGAAACCCACCCGAGCTGTAGGAAGTGGTCTCTTTCAGCTCCCTTTGCCCCAGGACTGCTGTCTTCTTTCTGCCTCATCTTTCACCTGGGATTTTCATCTCAATTTTTATCTGCAGTTTGTCCAATATTTTGAAGCCAATGAAAAGACCTCTCACCCCCAGTATTCATAAAAATACAGCTAAAAAATTGCCTTCACATGGCCAGATAGTCCCCTCTGCCTCTATTATCCAAACAGAGGATGTTTTTGGTTCTTCAGCCATGTGCCAGCTGTCCAGGACAGATACAGACACTGAGGAGTCCCACAGACCACTCACAGCCCTGCCAGTTCTGGAGCCACGTGCCAGGTACCACGAACTGCTGGGGTTTAGCTGGCTCTGATCTTAGACATCAAACAGGAGCTGGGAGACAGCAAGAGACTGCAAGTGGTGATTTATCTCAAATACAAACGTCTGGATTAAATAAACTCATTTGGAAAAGGCTCATTGACTCGAGGGGAAGGGCACAGGGACAAGTGTGGTCAGCAGCACAGGAGCCTCCCTGGACAAGCTGGCACCGGGAGCCCGTGGCAGTGGCAGTGCAGGAGCTCACAGCCCCAGAGGGTGCCCAGCACGCTCAGACCCTCAGGCCAGCAGCTCCTCGAGGCTCTGAGAGCCCGGGCAGGCTGTCTGGAGCACACAGTCATTCCTCACTCCTCCAGGAGCAGAGGAGAGCTGAGCCACTCTCACTCCCAGCCCTGTGCAGGCGCCAGTGCCCGGTCACTGCACGTCCTGCCCAGGCACGGAGCTTCTCCTCACGCTCTGCTCCAGCTCCTCACATCGGCATAAAAGGAGATTTCTTTGCAAAAATTATGCAAGACGCTGCAAAAACCCCAAACCCGGTAAGATAATGTGAAACAAATGCTCTGACTATCCCAGGCTCCACCTATGCCCAAGCCCATCTGAGAAGTGCAGCTGAACTTTGGCATCACCTTAAGATAAAGGGTTTGGAGGCATTTGTAATGCTTTACAAAAGCACCAAACCTCCAAAACCAGGCCTGTGTCAACAAACTGGCTGAAGAAAAGCAAATCCTGCTCACCAGGACTAGATAGACACTCCTTGCAACATTTCTGTTTTGGCTTTCTGTGCCTCACAGCATTCTTGCTGCTGGAAGACTGAAAGCAAGTCAGGGCAGAGGAAATTCTTGGGTAGTGAAATGATAGGAAATCGAGGCTGTTCTACCCACAAAAGCATTGCTGAGCAGTGTCAGGAGCACAGCAGCAATGCCATGGTTTGCTGATACGCCGGCCAAAGGCAGGGCCACTGGTCCTGAGCAGCTGCAAAATGGAGAGCCTGGAGTGACAAGTGACAAGGAAAGAGCCCAAACCAGCTTGGTTCAGAGCTCGAGGACTCCTCTGCAAAGGAGCACGGGGCTCCCCTGGCAGGTCTGGCGAGGTGGAGCCCTGGCCAGGAGCTCTGCTAGGTCAGGTTCCAGCCCCGCAGCCTGCTCTGTTTGCTGCCCAGCTGAGACTCCACAGTGCCTCTGTTCTGTCACCTTCTGTCAGCCCAGCACACCCTGGCCAAGGACCCTTTGCAAAGGCTGCAGTGAAAGCAGTGTGACAGCTGGGTTTGGTGCCAGGGGCTGTCCTCAGGGGCAGCAGGACCTGGAGAACTCAGGCCTGAAATCACGTTCAGAGTTTCAGGAAACTTGGCCAGTGTGGGGGTTAGTCCAGGACCATGGAGGACCCAGCACACTCCCAGCCCAGCACACTCCCAGCACACTCCTGTCCTGCCAGGGGCAGCAGGGCACAGGCAGGACTCCTCTCTCCGAGTGCTGTGCTCGGTGCCAGCAGAGCACACACCCAGCAGGGCAGGTCCATGGGCAGGGTGATGGGTGTGCCATGGCACTTGTCCATCAGTGGGGCAGAGCCACGGGCAGGGTGATGGGTGTGCCATGGCACTTGTCCCTCCTGGCTCTGCTGCCTGAGCCCCCCGTGGCTCTCCAGCCCCCAGAGGGGCTTTGGGGACACAGTGGCACAGCCACAGGCCTATGAGGGACTGGCAAAGGGAGCCCTCCTGCTTCCACAGAGGCTTCTGGATCCCAAAAGCATTTATTGCACAACACCCTATTTGGAGACCGAAAACGGTGCTGGAGACACGTAACTACCTCAAGTATGTTTTCCCCTCCTTTTTAGGGAGGGAAGAGGAAAAGCTGGTTTCCAAAATGTTACTCCAAGTTCACAACAGCCCTTCAGAGCTGAGGTCCTCGTTTCACCTCTCCCCACAGCCAGGGCTCCCCAGTGGCCATGGCAGGCTCCATCCAAACCCTTCCCTGCAGCATCAGCTACCCTACCTTAATGCCAGCCATGGCAGGAGAGAGCTCCAGGGAGGCTGAGGGACCTCCAGAACCCTTTGGGGGTTCCTCCAGCTGCAATGAGTATTGAAGATTTACAGCTAACTCTGAACTAGGGCTGTGAACAAAGGAACAGGGAAAAGCCACACAACATTCACATGGGTGGGACCAGGCTGCTCAGCACAATTGCTGAGGGTCAGGGATGGATAGCAGATCATTTGTTGTCATTATTTGACTATAATAGAGCTATGCTTGCATAATAACAGTGGGCAAGCTCAAACTTCCTTAGGGATTTGGGGCTAGCTCAAACTTCCTTAAGGATCTGGGGCTAGCTCAAAATTCCTTAAGGATCTGGGGCTAGCTCCAAGTTCCCTGTGGATCTCCAGGAGCTGCAGGGTGCAAGGGGTTACACACAAGGCAGTGCTGCATGCTCCAGTTCACATATTGGCCATTTGGTGCCCTCTTCCTTCTCTGCTGATGCCCAGCAAACAGAATGGTTTGGGTTGCAAGGGACCTTAAAGTTCAGCATCCTCCTTGAGTGCCCCTAATGTCTGGTGAGGTCCAGCTCAGGAACCAGCTCCCAGTCCTGGCACAGAACAGCCGAAAACGTCCCCCAAACCTCCTGCAGGAGGGCTCAGCTGGGGCAGGACACCTGGGGCTGCTCTGGATTGCAGGAGAGGCTCCTTGACAGCAGCTGCAAGGGGAATAATTCTGAGCAAGGCGAGCAATGCCCTTAGAAGTGCACTAACGAATAAACACATTCACTACTGCAGTTCTGAGAACAGCAAAGGGATGTTTTGATTTATTTTCTTCTCATTTTCATAGAAAACATCCATTGTAATCATGACCTGCAAGCAATTTGTTTCCCTGCCAGATTCCAAGCAAGCGTTATCCCAATTACCACACTCACAGGAAAAGAATTCCCTTACAAAAGGCTGTCTTTCATCCCAAATTCCCTCTGTTGGATTTATTTAAGGCATCAATGAATGGGTTGATACCATCTGCAATACTGGAAGCACTTATTGTATTAAACCTTGCAGAGTAAGAAGTTTGCTGCCTTTTATTTTAGCAATAAAGAGCAGGTAAAGGCACTGATAGTGGAGGAAACTATTTCAATGGAACTGCCAGATCCCAACCCACGGGATGACAGAGCTCCAACAACCAGGGCCTCTGCAAACAGCTCCCTCTTCCAAGAGCACATAGCTGGCAGCATTCCTTTCTTCACTAACAATGTGTGAATTAATGATAAGAGAAGGGCAAATGCTGAAAAATCAGATTCTTTTCATAAGCCAGACAGTGCTTCAGATACTTGGACTTAATTATAAATCCAAACCAGGACGTGAGGAAGTGTCTGGAATGGGAGGAGAACCCCCCCCAGACTTAATGAAACAGTAGATCTGCTGAGTTCCAGAGCACTCAGGTAAGGGTCTCGGGGTGATCTCCAGTTACCTGCCCAGAACCAGCTGGGTCCTTCCCATCTCCCACACGAGGAGAAGGCTCTGGATGCCACTGGGAATGGGGGACACTGGGAATGTCCCTCAGAACACTGACAGGATGCACCGATGGAGCTGCTTCCATCAAATCTCCATATAACAACGGATTTAGGACTAAATATCTGCTCAGCAGTAGGAGGAGGATCTTTAGTGGAGGAAAGAGGAGGAAGCTGAAGGTGGCACGAGGGCAGGGCCA